GAATATTTACTATATATTAAAGTAGGTTTTTAAATTTACTATTATATAATGTATTTAATACTATAATAAATAATATTATTTAATTTGTCGGGTAAGTATAATTTAAAAAAAAGAAATTAATTAGTGAGTAACTTGAAAAAATTATAGGAATATTTAAAAGCTGCTTTATATATATATTATTAGTTTTTAACTTTTTTATAACATAATAAATATAATAAAAATAATATTATTAGATTTTGAATTAAAATCCTGAACAACAAATTATTGAAATAACATAAATTAGTTAGCATTATAGCTAGTACTAGCTAACTATGTTGGTATTATGTTCTTTCAAAAATCTGTTTTTTGAGGTTTGACCCAAATTCAATTATTAGCTAGTTTTTTTTTTTTTTTAGTGAGTATAAGTGAGAACACCAATAGCAATTTGAGAACACTCATAGCAATTATACTGTTCTCATGAGAACAGTAATTGAGTCTGAAATTTTGAACACTGGATATAATATCAATATCTGATAGAATGTATAAATACATTTTTTATATTAGGATCATTTTTTGAGAATTTTGTATACAAAACCTTCACCAACTAAAACAGCAAAAGAAGCTACAACATGCTTACTTAATTTCTGTATGATGTATAGTTTTCCAATTGTATTATATTCTGATAACACTAGTGAGTTTGTTGGAAGAGTTATTAAAGAAACATTAAATCTCTGGCTGACTATTAAATTTGTCAATAGTAGACCAAGAAACACTTATTGCTAAGGAATGATAGAAAAAGGGAATGACATTCTCCAAACCAAATTAGGATTCTGAATAGAAGAAACAGGCCAAAATAATTAAAGTATAGGATTAAAATTCACTATTTGTGTATTATTATTTTTTTTTTATATTTTTTTACTTTTTTATTTTTTATTTTCATATTTTTTTATTTTTATTTTATATTTTTTTTTTAATTTTTAATTTTTCTTTTTTCTTGTGGCATTAATATACAAAAATAGTCTTTTAGATGAAATTTTAATCTAAAAAATATCTTCTTATTAAGATTTTTGCATTAGTTTCATGATTATACTACTTTATTAACCCAATCAATAAAACAATTTCTTTTTTTTTATTAATTTTTTAATTTATTATTATTTATTTTTTATTTAATCTTTTATTATGATAATTTTTAATCGATTTTTTTATTTTTTTCTAGTTTTATTTTTTATTTGTTTATTTATTTACTTTTTTTACATATTTTTGTTATTGTTTTTTGATTGATATTTAGTATAGGTGGGAATATAGAAATATGTTAAGAATATTTACTATAAAAATAACTATTTGAACTAATTTAACCAAATTTGAGAATAGTTAGAGTTAGGGCGAGAGTTATAGTATAACTTATAGTTAGCTTAGAGTTCTATAAATTTACAGATTTTAAATAAAAAAATAAGCATCGAATTTGGTCTGGTGATTGTGGAGATACGTATCTCGCTCAATTTTTTTTAAAGAATTGGCGCAGCTTTAATTTTGATATTAACCCTACGTGCCGCACAAAAAATGCGCGGCAGATTCTTGGCTAACAGCCGAGGATCTTCAAAAATTTGGCCCGCATTACATAATTGTTTACTAATTTCTGGCCGGAATTAACTTTTTAATTTTTTCATTACAAAAATAGAAATTTTTTAAAAATAAGCCCGAATTATGGTAAAATTGGCCCAGGAACAATTTTCACTTACAGCTGTTTTCATAAATTCTGGGACAACTGATAAAAATTATTTCGGCCGAATTCAATAAGTTTTTGAATTCGGTGTTGTCGTAATTTGATTTTGGTGAATTCAAAAACTTATCAAACTTATCGAATTCGGCTAATCAATTTTTATCAGTTGTCCCAGAATTTATGAAACCAGCTGTAATGAGCGGCTGCGATTTCATTAGTAAAATTATTAGTAATTCCGGCCTAATTTTTTGATCAGCGCTCTTAGCCAACCAAAATCGAGGATCTTCCGCACATTTTTTGTGCGGCACCTAGGTTCAATAATTTAGATAGACTTTTGATTTATCTTTAACTTTGAGCGACGATATCTCCACTACTACCAGACCAAATTCGACTAGAATTTAAATAAAAAAATATATCATATTTGGTCCAGTGGTTATGGAGATAGCTTCGCTCAAAAACTTTATAAAAATTGGGTACAGCTTCTATTTTAATAGGCGTTTTGATTTATCTAACTTTGAGTGACAAAATTTAATAAATTTTTTATTTAAATTTTATGGATTCATAGAATTCAAATAAAAAAAATTCATCGAATTTGATTAGTTGGTTACCAATATATTTTGATTTAATTTTAAAAATTTTTATTTTTCTGTTCTAAAAAAAATGGACTGCGAGGCATAGATTACGCACACAATAATGCACGCATCAAGAAAGTAAATCACTTTTTGGACATATCAAAAAAGCAACCGCAGATCTATCAAAAACGATACTTTTGCGCTTCTGCGCCGCTTTGTTTCACGTGCTCTCGGGGTACAGTTCTGCAGCTCACAATATCTAAACCAAAATTAAATCTCGGTATTACTGATGTACAAAATAACTACCAGCATATTAATTTAGAACAAACAAATATAATTGTTCGGATAGGGTTTCGGGATTACGGATGAGGTTTTGGGATTACGGATAGGGTTTCGTTGCTAAACCATCCTTCAGTAAAAGAGCTTCCGGTAATTTATTTCTAAGAAATAGAATGTCGGAAAAATATTATTTGGAAAAATGGCATGTCAGTAAAATAGACATTCATCCTTTAATATTCGGTGAAATGGAAAATGACTTATCAGTAAAATTTATTATAAATTAAATGATATTTCTGTAAAATAAGACTTTCGGAATTATGACTTGTTATAAAATGGGATGATTTCGGTAAAATGCTTTTTCAGTAAAATTGATTTCGGGAAGTTCTTGATGTTAACCCGTAACCAAAATATCAGCTAGCTTATATTGGTTTAATAAAAATTATTAATTATATGTTACACACATATATTATAAATTGTTTTACTAGTGACGCAGAGGAATTGTTTCCAATATCACTATTTATTACGAATTTTATTGCCAAATATATCTCTAAATTTTTTGAACAATATTCATTCAAATTTTGATTTTTGTCTGCTATCTCAATATGTCTGTCATAATTAAGGAGACCCTATACGTTAAGCCAACCAGGCCAACGAAACATGCTCAAATTCCACTTTCTAACTGCGACATTGTCATGCCAGCCACTTATACTGGATACATATATTTTTTTAAAAATCATTTTAAAAAAGATAATTTTATGAACGTTCAAAAACTTTCAGAATCACTTGGAGATGTTTTAAACTATTATTATCCTCTAGCTGGTACACTTAAAGGTGCTCCCGATGGTAGATCGGTCATTGACTGTAATGACCAAGGTGTTCAATTTATTATTGCTGAAAGTTCTGACATTACAATCAATCAACTTGAAGAAAATAATTGGAATCATGCAGCTATTTCTAACGGATTAATGCCACCAAAATTAATACCTAACAAAATTGATCCAATTTTATTTTTAGTACAACACACTACTTTTGCTGATGGATCTGTAGCCCTTGGTTTTGCTATACATAAGCATTTCATGGATGGTGTTGGTCTTTTTACTTTTATTAAAAATTGGGGACTAAGAGCTCGTTTAGAACAGATTGACCCACCTATCCATGATCGAAGTTTGTTAAAAGCAAGTGGTAACCCTCCAACAGATATTGCTTCCAAATATTTTAGAATTAATTCGGCTCAAAATATTTCAAGAAGAAACACTGCTTCTGCAACTACCAAAATTTTTCACTTTAGTTACGATGTTCTTAATAGGTTACGCGATTATTATTCTGTTGGTATTTCTAATGGAAATTGGGTTTCAACAAATGATGCACTTGTAGCTCACTTTTGGAGAACAAGCACTAGAGCTCGAAATCTTGATTTAAATACTGAAGTAGAATGTGGCTTTGCTCTTAATGGACGTGATGTATTAAATCCACCTATTCCCCAAAGTTATTATGGAAATGTTGTTTTGTAAATAGATTTAATTCATTTATAATTATCATTTTTGGGTTGTTTTTTTCACATTTAAAATAACTTTATTATTTAATATTATTTTTGTTTAGTGGTGTAAGACTAAGAATGCTCGTCTCTCAATTGATTAATGGTCCACCATCTTCAATAGCACTCCAAGTTCGAAAGGCCGTTACAGATACGAATGAAAGCCATATTCGATCCATAATTGATTGGGTTGAACAACAGCCAGATAAATCATTAATTCAGGTTAATGCTGAGTATGATGGCAAATATTTTGGAGGATCTAGTTTGGCAAAATTTCCAAAGAATGATTTAATAGATTTTGGCGATGGAACTCCTATAAAACTGAGACTTCTGGGAAAAGCTGCTCCACCTGATGGGTTATATCTAATACTTGGTACTGAGGATGGAGTAGATGTTTACCTTTCTTTGCAAACTGAAACATTTGTAAACTTCGAACAGGATCCTGAATTTAGGAAATTTATTGTTCCATAATAGCTTAGAATAATTGTCTCGGATTTTTTGCTCTCTAATTAATCTGTACAATTTTATTTATTTATTTATTTTTATAAAAAAATAAAGGTCTTAAAATTTAACAAATATATTTGTATATACTGTTTATTATAAAAACTTTTAAGATTTTATTATTAATAAAAATCAAATTAGGCTCTGTTACTTGCCAAAAGTTTTAAAAGACAAAATAATAAAATTAACAAAAGATAGCAAAATTAGTAAAAGAAATATAACAAAATTAATAAAGCTAATCAATAAAACTATAAAATTAATAGATATAACTATATAGTAGATACAGTTATTAAAAAAAAGTCATATTAAATATTATACCAAAGATTTTTATTATTAATAGTATCAGAAAAATATATACTGTATAACTAAAAAAAACTAGATAGCTGCGCGCAAACCCAGGAACGGAAGGTCTAAGCGAAGGTAAGAATCAAGATATATTGTAAATTTGCGCATAATTATGTGATAGCATGTGACATTGGTTTAATTTAGGATTAAACGTAACGGGTTGCATAATACTAATTAATAGATATACATTTGATTTAATCTTTATTTATGCTAAAATATTATGCTGTTACATATAAATGAAATGAGATTAATAGTACAAATAAAAAAATACTTTTAATAGAAAAATAACAAAATGAGTAAATAGCAAACTATGCTAAATCACGACACAGCTTAAAGTTGAATCTGTTAATATAAACAAATTACTAATTACGATTTTCAAAAATTAATCCAGAATTAGGTAGGATTTTAACAGTAGATATTTTTATAGGAGGAACAACTTTACCACTTACAGTTCTAATATTATATTTTAAAATCAATTTATGCAAACCCATCTTGATTTCATTAACTGCGAAAAATCTACCAGGACATGCATGTTTACCACCTCCAAAGGTTATAAAAGATTTGTCAACTTTCGTAGCTGGTGAGTGAACAATTTTGCCATTAGGATATGAAGTTATGTGTCGTTTTGGTTGAAAGTCATTTGATGTTTCTCCAAAGAATTTATCATTGAGGGCTGTATCTTTAATAAAGACAGAAACATCACGACCTGTATAGATGTTGAAGGTTAATATTAATATAAAATTTAAATAAATAAAAGTAAATCATTAAATTAGAAATAAATCTACCTTCAGGTATAGTGGTTCCATTGCTAAATGTATACGAATCACCAATCAAGACATGCGGTAAACCCGCTAATTTATAAATAAAGGATTTTTATTAATACAAAAGAATTTTATCAAATATAAACAAGTCAAATATTCAAATATAATTACCTATATGTAAATTATGTCTTAAAGATTCTTTTAGAAGACAGTCCAATTTTACCATTTTATTAACATCTTCAATGCTCAAATAACCATTTGATTCACTATGAATCTTTAATTGTTCTTCATAAAGTTCATTCCATAATTCAGGTCTTCCACCATAATCTGATTTATTAGATTAATTATTCTAAAGTTAAAATATATTAATCCAATGTAAAAAGATAATAGAGTAAAATAGTTAAATCTAAATTACCAAATAGAGCAAATGAAAGAGACCTGGAAGTTGTATTAATCGAAGCAAAAACTACACTATATAATATTGCAAATAATCTGTCCATAAGTTTATCATCCACGACATCTGTTTTTGCTTCACTTATGAAGAAATCAAGTAAATCTTCCTATTAATTAAAATAATAATTATTATTATTATTATTATTATTATACAAATTTCTTTAAAGTAGGTTAAAATTAAAAGAGATAACATACTTTTTGAATATATTTTTCACCAAGTTCTTTTCTTTGACGGATGCGTTCTTCAACAATTGGTTTGCAACGTTGAACAAAAAGATCTCTATGATGATTTATTGGATTCCATCCGAATTTTAATGGTAAGCTATTAAAAGAAATCTTTTTCAATTAACAGATCATAAGCCATAATAGAAGGTTATATGCTTAAAAGTTACTGGATGACCATCATACACGGCAAAAAATCTATAAAACAAAGGATGAATGAATAGTAAAAATTTTGGAGAAAATCTCATTTTCTGCAATTCATTCTCTACTACTGTGAATGAACCTATAATATCTTCAAATTGTGCACCTTCCTTCAAATTTAAAATAAATTAGAATTATTAATATAAATAATATAAATTTAAAATGTATTATTATATTATGATAAAACTTACTTCACCAAGAATAATATTTGCAACAGGTTTGGCAATTATTCGTGCTGTCACTTCTCGAATATTTTTGATAACCTTTGGTTCTGAAATTATTTATTCACTTTAAATAGTGCTTAGACAATAATCTCAAGCAATAAAATATAATAAAAATATAATAAAGATACAATAAAGTTATAATAAACTTTTAACAAATACCTTTACAATCTCCAATATACTCTTCAATCCCGGATAAAAGTTCTTTTTGCATTCTTGATGTGTAAATATTAATTTTACCACTGACTTGTTTACGAATCACTCGGGCCAAACTTACTACTGAAAGATCTTCAAAGAATAGTTTGAAAATGTCGGCAGCTGGAAATATCTGTTATGATAGAAATAAATAAAATATGGCTTATTTTAATTTAACAATGAATTCTTTTGCGACTAGAATTGTAATTTTAGTTGACTTAAGTTGCACTGACTGGAATTACTACTTATTTAAGTCAGTCCAACTTCAAGTCCGTCATATACAATATACTGTATATATATTTCTGTATTTAATGACAAAATGGATGAACTTGCGTTGTTCACACCTTAGCTACTCCCTTATGAAAATCAAAACCGTCATGCCTTAGGACTTCAGGGGTGCTATCAGCTCCTGTAAATGTTTTAACACTTCCATAGACATATAAACTAAATGGTTCACCATACTTTATATATATAAAAAAAAAGAAAAGATTATTAAAATATGTTGTATTCGAAGGAACATTAATAAGAAATCGTATTTTACCTTTTCCTTACATTTTTTGAGAAAATTTTCGGGGTCATGTGCTAAATCATATGTATGCCCAATTATCGGAAATCTATATGGTACTAGTGGTGGTTCATTCTATAAAAAATGATTTCTTGTTACAAAAAATAAAAAAGATAATAATATGTGTATAACCATCATGAAAATGAGACTAAAGTTTACCAAGCCTATCCGAGGACGCTTGATCAAATAAAATATATACGTAATAAAAAGTAATAAACTGAAAATTTCAATGTATGCCATTTTCTTTGATGGTTATAGTAATAGCTTATATATTTTTCTTTAATGTTGAGGAAGTTATAACAATAACTTATATATACTTTTTTAAATGGAAAGTAAGTTATAATGATGGCTTGTATATGTGTTTAAAGATGGTTTATTTCATGTATGACGTATGTACTATTGCTCTAAAAATTTCGGAAAATAAATTTTCCTAGGATTCTGGTGTTCCATGGCCCGGTTCTTTCGGGGTTTACAATATTCGATACGTACGTACGTACGTACGTAGTTCTTATTGTCCCGAGTAGTTTTCAACCAATAAGAAGAGAGTACAAAAATAAAACCACTATTTCTTAGCTATATTTGGTTTCATTTTTTACATGACAATCATTTCATCGACATTTTCGACACCTATTTAGTTACGATTAGCGTTGGTTGGAGACAACCAGTTAACAAGGAAATGATTTACGTACGATCAACTGTTATATGCTTGGGACAATTCTGGTCAAATAAGTAGCTGCGCGACATTGTCGCGCTAAACCAGGAACGGATGAATATAAGCTTAGTTTAGAAGATGTTGGACAACTCCAATACAGAATAGTTAAATATTGTTTTGAATTCAGATAAAATAAATATCGGGTATACAACTAAATACAGCATAACTATATTGATCATAACTATATTGATATGGCACTATAATCATAAATCAGCACGAATAAGAAATTAATAATGGATACATAGATTATTTCAAATACTTTGATTAATAAAGAATCAACTTGAATAAAAGATTGTAGTAGTGATTTCTTTTTGATTTACAAATTTCACTTATGCATCTCCATACAGGATAAAACAGTAAATGCCATAAACATATTCAAATTTATGACTATCACTGACCTTTATACGCTTTGAAGGATAAACAGATTTTCTCCTATAGTCATGAGACCCAAATTTTTAACGTTAGAATAAATTGGATAATTCGAAATAAATCAAGAATGTAAGTTATACCACATTTTCACATGAAAAAATTATTGTAAAAATGTACATGATACCCATGATACGTAGACAATAATATAAGATAAGAAAAAAAAGCTTATCATTAGTACTGCTTAACTAATACATAGTATTTAATTCAAGTTGATGAAAGTCAATAGATAGATAAGCAAGGATTATAGATGTTAGACGAAATCATTTTTGCTTGATGACGAAAGTCGAAACCTGAGACCTAAATGACTAAACCTCTGCCGAAAGTCGAAACCTCGAATTCTTCTGACAAAAGTCGAAACCCTCAAACCCTTTTGACGAAAGTCGAAACCCGAAACTTAACGAAACCCTAGTACTCCCGCTAAAAAATTTAATGAAAATCAATTATTAGCAAAGTCGTTAACCCTATAAATTTATATATTTAACCAAGAAACAGTGATTTATTATTGAGGCTTTCATTTTATTTATATTTAAAGCTGAAGCTGTTTATTGGCTTGACGTGGCTTGTATATTTAGTTTTTAAAAGCAGAAATTATAAATGGATAAATAAACCATTAACACCTCTCGAATATTTAAATAAATATAAATATAGACGTATTATGACGAATTTAATAAATTCTAGATTTAAAAAATTTTGCTAAAAAATTATAAGACACGGCAAATTAAGAACTCTAAAATTTGTATGTTTATTGGCTTGTATATTTAGTTTTTAAAAAGCCAATTACGGAAATTATAAATGGGTAAATAAGCCATTAACATCTCTTGAATATTTAAATAAATATAGACGCATTATAATATTTAGTAAATTATTGATTCAAAAATTTTCACTGGAAAATTAAAAGACTCGGCAATAAAATTTATTATCTTAATTTAAATCAATAACTCTAAAATTTGATAAGTACATAATTTTCTATAAAGTAATTTTAGTGTATAAGTTGTGAATAAAATTTTTTAAGAATTTATGATATTGTCATATTAAGTTTTTTATTTTTATTTATGTTGAGATGTTTATTAGCTTGAACTGGCTTGTATATTTAGGTTTTAAAAAGCCATTTACAGAGAAAGTAAATAAGCCATTAACATCTCCAATATTTAAAAAAAATAAATATAAATATAGCGATAGGCATATTATGATGAATTTAGTAAATTATAGATTCAACCCATTTTTACTAGTAAATTATAATAAGAAACAGCAATAAATTTAACATCATAATTCAATTAATAACTCTATAATTTGTTAAGTACGTAATTTCTATTAAGTAATATTAGTGTATAAGTTATAAAATATTTTTTTTAGAATCTATTATATTGTCATATTGAGTTTTTTTATTTATATTTAATGCTGAGATGTTTATTGGCTTGACCTGGCTTGTATATTTAGTTTTAAAATACAAATTACAGAAATCATAAATAGGTAATAAGCTATTAACGAGTATAATATACATTTCCGGTACGGTACAGTTAAAACTATCTGGTAAGGTATTGTACAGAAAAGTGACTGTACCCAGATAAATTTTTCAAGCAGGGTACATAAAAAAATATTAATTATCGTACCAAGTTTTTTTTTTTTGTGCATTAGGTACGCAAAAAAAAAATATATATATACTTAATAAAAAACTTTACCGTACCCATAGCTGCCGCAAATTTGGACCGGCAGATCCTCGATTTTGATTGGCTAAGAGCGACGATAAAAAGATTAGGCCGGAATTACTCATGATTTTACTAATGAAATCATAACCGCCCATTAAATGAAAATTGTTCCTGGGCCAATTTTACCATAATGCGGGCTTGTTATTTAAGAATTTCTATTTTTGTAATAAAAAAATTAAAAAGTTAATTCCGGCCGGAAATTAGTAACCAATTTTGTAATGTGGGCCAAAATTTCGAAGATCCTCGGCCGTTAGCCAATCAAAATCGAGGATCTGCCGGTCCAAATTTGTTGCGGCAGCTATGGTTAATGTTATTCTTCATTTTGAATGTCATGACGGCAGTCATATAAGTTGTAGTAGTGATTTCTTCTTTTGATCTATAAATTTCACAATATTGATAACGAGATCGGTATGGAATGTTTTTAAAGTACCATACAAGCGTTATTTTGAAAATCAGAACAACTTATATGGTCTCGAATTAGCGCTCCGGATTAACGCGCATCCTAATGTAGCACATAATTTACTGTGGCGATTAGGCTGCTAATCAGTCCGTCCGGTCCGCCTTGGTCCAAGACCGACGGTCTTTTAAAAAGTTAGACCGGACTGCGGCTTAGAACCGATCATTATAAGACTGGACGGACCAATTATTAGACCAATTAAATGCTACATAAGTTGTATCAACATATTGTGTTATTACCTGTTATTATTATAAACTCCATTCAAATCATTAGTTTATTATTTGTTTTATTAAATAAAAACCACCCCTAACCGAATATTTAAATCTGTCTATTACTATTCGTGATGAAATACGCATGAATTTTGAAATCGTGTACATAGACAATAATTCTAATTAAATATATTAAATTTGTATAACTAACTCTTGCTAAAATAAACTAGTTATTATAATAAAATAGATTAAACAAGAAGAAACTCTATTTAAAATTTGTCATTCTAAGAATTAACCTAATAGAGTACATGTAATATACGATAGTAATGAGTAGCTTTTCTCAAATAACTTACGAACATATTAATACTGTATTGTTATTTTTTGGTTAATTAAACATCTAACTAAATTAGTATCGTGACAGTCACTATACGCACAGTATGAGGTTGGAGTATTCTATACATATTGGCTTAATTATGCATGTATGCACAAATTTATAATATATCTTGATTCTGACCTTCGCTTAGACCTTACGTTCCTGGTTTTGCGCGATGACGTTGCGCAGCTGTCTAACATTAATTAAGATCGATTTTAAGGGCGCTGACATTTATTACGTAATATCCATTTACTACGAGGGCTCCCCCTCCCACATAAGATCCAATATGGTTGCCCAATTTAAAAAGAATCCGATTATACTAATTTCTTTGTGTAACGTAAGATATTAATTTATCCCCTAAAATATTACGTAATAAATGTTAATGACATAAGAAGGATACATGTAATAATATCTTTGATCGGCGATTTATTATCCGATCGAGGGATCGTTTCATACCGCATAATTTTTATTATTGATACATATATAAATAAATAACTAAAAGAATCAAAAAAGTTAATTGTCATACATTAATGTGATTAAAAATTCAGATATTATCGTCAATTTTTCTATCATAATAACAGCACTCGTCAAAACTTACCGAAGCTTTTTATACTCAATTTTAAATCTGTTCAAAATTTTTTTTTTAGTCTAATTAAAATAATAATTTCATATTAATATATACTTTTTTTTTCACATGTTGACACACGTACGCTTTCACATTTTTCTTCAAAATACGATAAAAATTAATCGGGGCGTAGATCAGATCAGATCATTCAAAATGCGCAGTTCAGATATAACATAAAATTTTTGAATTAAAAATTTTAAAATCGACCAAAAAGTGCGAAAGCCTGATTTTCCTAGTCCATTCCCAATAAACTAATATCAGAAAATGTTACAGAAAAATCCATTTAAGAATGCCAATTTTGCACAAAGTCGACTGACAATCACTACATCCCCTAAATGATTGTCGGTACATCGTTTTTCGGACACTCAATTATCCGCACATGCCTTTGGTAAAGGTTATAATTCTACTGGTGGAAATCGATAAGTTTAAAATTAAAAGTATCTAAGAAAATAAATGAAAAAGCCTATTTTTCATTTTAATTAATTAAAAATTCCTCCACACAAAAACGAAAAGGAGAAATAATTGGCATAAAATTCCTATGCAATCACCTAAAAATTTGACGCAACACCCGTGCATACATTTTTTACAGGGGATCCCCAAATTTTCGGGCCGAAATGCGTCGGGGTTAGGGTTAGCTTTAGGGTTAGCAGGAGCTATGGTAAAATTATCAGCTGGGCATTTTTTACTTAATGAACGACTATTGTTCAATAGTAAAATTCTTAGTGATCTTTGGTAAAATCAATCGATTCTGGCCTATCCGACCATATTCCGACCCGGAATTCCCTCGTTGTAAGGTTGAATGATGACTAAACTTTCCGGGGTAGTATAACACTAAACTATCATAATCAACAAGGCACTTCGATAGAGGCGCGGATGAGTTTGATCCGAGGGATTAGGATCAACTTCGAACTTTTTGGAATTCGAAGTTTTTGGCGACAAAAAACGTCGCTTATATAGTTTTTACGCAATTAATGACGTAATTACATCATTTTGAAGAAAAAGGAAGTCGTTTCTCACGATATACGAAGTAAATGACATAATTGAGACATTGGGAATATTTCGAACATTAGGAACATTTGGTACATTTCGTACATTTCGAATATCGGGAACATTGCGAACACTGGGCTAATTGTGTTAACTAAAAAACAAGCGATTACACTTGTGCTCTTATGGTGGGTTCACAAATACAAATACGGAAAGAGGTAAACTATACTTAAAAGGAAAAATACTAAGTAAGTTAAAGATTTTTAAAATAGATTTACAATACATATATATTTAAAAATTGAAATAGGTCACCATCATAAAATTTTAAATAATTCTGTCTATGACAACACTACGTGAAGCACACGATATGATTCAAGAAAAAGAAAAAAAAGCAAGCCTGGAAAAAATGATTGAAATCGCATTAGAAAACATCCATATCCAAACATTAATTATAGGATTAATCTTAGTAGTAGTTTATTTCAAACTATCAAGACGAGCTAAATTAGTAAGTTTTTCTCATATAATATTTATTCGTAATTATATTATTAATGCAAATGTTAATTTTCTTAGAATGAACCACCACTTGCTTATTATCGGTTTCCATTTATCGGACATACATGGAGTTTTTTAACGAACTGCCAAAAGTTAATTTCAGAATCTCGAGAAAAGGTTTTTATTTTATCTTATATTTTTTAAAAAAATAATAATAAATAAAATAAATAAATAAATATTTCTTTCATGATTTAATAAATTATAATCTCTAATAATAGTATGGAGAGACATTTTCTTTATATGTATATGGTCAAATAATAACCGTAGTCGGAAAGGAATCAACTTATGAAGTATTAACAAAACATCAAGAGTTTAATTTTAAAGAGGTAATTGAGAAATCTTTAGCGAATGCAATAGTCCTTTGGATATTATATTACCATATATTCTAAAGTGTTATTTCAATTTTAAAAACAGCAACTACCGACAATTCACATACTTAATCACGTCCCCGATATAAGTAAAAATCATAGATTAATAAGGGACTTTATCACAGGGAAATTAAAATATCTTTTAAGTAGATTACAAAAAAACATTATTAAGGCCATAGATATTTATATTGGTGATTGTGCTGGTAAGCTTTCAGGCTTTTAACTTAAAAGTTTCTTATGAAAGATTTAAAAACAATTTTTTATTAATTATTAGAACCGAGGGTTATTCATGAACCATCTAAAATGATATCAGATATTATAGCAATTCCAATTGCTAGTATTATTGTCGGTGAAGTATGTTTATGTATTATTTTTTATATAAAATTCTTGGCATTAATTTAATTACTTTTTAATAAAAAAATTAGGATTGTTGCAATCATGAAGATTTATTGGAAACTTTTAAAAGCGTAACGTCTTCAATTAGTAAATTCTTTCTTGTACCACCAATATTATCCTTTAAATATCCCTGGCTTTATCGACAATTTATCACGTAAAGTTTATTTCCTTTACCTTTATTTTATTTTTTTAATTTTAAGCTTTACTTAATTGTTATTGCTTTACTTAATTGTCTAACAGAATTCCTTTAAGGTTTGGTTGGAGTCCGATTTCAAAATATAGAAAAATAGTGATCAGTCGTATTAAGCCGGTCGTTGAAAAACGTCTCAATGATAAAAAGAAATTAGGAGATGCTTGGGTTGCTCCAGTAAGTTATTTATAAATATATATATATTATTACGTAATTATTTAAATTATTTAATTATTTTTTTTAAAAAAAAAATAGTTAGATGCATTACAATGTTACTTAGATGATCCAGAAATAACTCCTGATCTCGATCCAAATAATGTAAATTATGATTATATTGCCGATGCAATAGCTGATTTTATTTTTTCTGCTTTAGGAACTACAAGATTTAGTGCTACTCTTACTTTCTTTGGTTAGTTATATTCAGTTTTTTTTATTATAATATACTCTAATTCTATTTTAATCATATTTTGTTTGAATATTAGATTTTGTAAAAAGAAAACAACAATATTGGCAAGAATTATATCAAGAGGCTGAGGAAATTAATAAACAGTGTAATGGATATGAGCTTACATCTGATGATATCTCCAAAATGGTGAAGTTGGATAGTTTTATTAAAGAATCTTTAAGAGTTGCTAAAGCTATAATTAGGTTGCCACATAAATGTATTTCTAAGCCTTATTATACATTTGCGAATGGATATCAAATCCCATATGGTATATTTTCTTTCTTTTTTGTTATTCTTTCAATTTTTAAACAATAACAATTCTCATGTGCATTCCTAATTATTTAAAATATTAGGTCGCGTAGTCTATCTAAACGTTGTTGACACACATCATGATGAAGAACTTCAAGGTCAAAATCCTACAGAATTCTATGCGTATCGTCATGATTCTCCTGCAACAAAAGTCGAACGTAAGTATTTGGTATTTGGACTTGGAAAACATGCATGTCCTGGTAGATCTCTAGCTGTCAATGAGATTAAAATGTTATTACATAAACTTATACTAAAATATGATATTAAAAGCGAAACTATTAAGCCTATAAAAGTTAGTATGGTGTTTGAGAATCGAAAGGAGGAGGTTGTAAATTAAGTGTTATAACATTATGTTCTGAAGATAAATTGGTACAGAGAATATAAAAGTAGATCTTAATATTTTTCTTTTTTCAATATATATATATATTTCTTTGGCAGTATTAAATATAATAAATATAGTTACATTTATATTTAACTTATCTAAGACTACTTGTGGATTATTTAATAAAAGAGAAAGAGAAGGGAGCTCTTCTATGAAATTCATAACATCCTAAATAAAAATTCAGCTATACTTGTTACTAAAATTAAATCAATTAAATAATAAAAACAAGTTAAAGCGTCGTGCTAATGCTGTGAGACTTGTGAATTAAATAAGATGATAGTTTAATTACTTACTAAATCTTTGTTTAATTACTTATTAAACCTTTGCTCGAATTATTTTTTTATATAACTTGTTAAATCTTTGCTCAAATTACTTACTAAACCCTTGCTCAAATTATTTTTAAATATAACTAATTAAATCTTCGCTCAAATTACTTATTAAACCTTTGCTCAAATTATTTTTTTATATAACTTACTAAACCTTTGTTTAAATTATTTTTTTATGAATTATTTTCTATGTAACTTATTGAAGTTTTACTTAAATTATTTCTTATATAACTCACTTATGGTAAATTAGTGCGATGAGTGGTGCTTTACGCCACCCATCTTATACAGAGTTTAATAACTATCACAGTACACATTTTATACATTTGAGTCGAATTAATTGGTATTAGAATTATCTTGATTTCTATTTACTGCAAAAACTCCATTACGCAATTTATTTGTTCAATAGATACACTGGCTAAGACTCAGTTTGTATTGATATTGTCATATTTATACAATTCTATAAAATATTCTGTTGCTAAACTTGTTATTCCAGTAATCACGTATATGGTTAATGTTGACTTATCATTATTTTCTATTATAAAAACTTTACTCGTTATTTCAGTAACAGCAATGTGTAGTTGAGAATGAAATAATTTATATTGAAAATTTCATGACTTTGATGATGGGATAGTGTAAAAAATTCTATTACAGGACTTAGTACTTTAGCGACCACAGTTAATGTTTAAGTTAGTAATGAAATTATCATGATATTTATCATAAATTATTATCAAAAAAAAAATTTTACAAAACTTAATTACTTCTATACAGCGTGGACTACAGTACCACGAGCATAGGGATGGTAAAAAAACGGTTTAAACAGTTTTTTATACATTTTTTATTGTTTTAAAAAATGTTTTAAAACATCAATGGCTGGTTTGAAATTTGGCTGGAATTTAAACTACCGCCTTTGATCAGAAAAAGATTTCTCTTTTTATAATTGATTTAATTTATTTTAAATTTTTTTATCGAATAAATGTATCCTTTTATAATTAGAATTATAAAAAGAAATTGTGAAAGAGTAATAAAAATGCATTTTGAACGACTTAATTTTTTTTATTTTTTTATCAATATGTACTCTGAATTCAATACGTACGTACTATATTTATTGATATTGAAAGTCAAGACCTACAATATGTATTGCAAATATTACTTAATGACATTGTAAAACTAGAATCATGAAGGTTCAGAAGCTTTTTACATTTAGTTAAATGTTCTTTTAATCGGCCAATTAAATCAACATAATTACACTTTTGACATGATGTTGTTCGACCATATTTGTCACTTTCTGTAATTTTTGTGAAATTCAAATGAATTTATTTCAATGGAGGTCTTTCACGAGACATAGCTATTCAAGGTTTTTTTTTCTTTTTTGATATTAGTAATCGTAAGAAATATTATTTAATATAAAATCGAATTGTGTAATTTTATTTACTAATTGGGGTCTTTGCCTTGAAAATGACCTTACAGCATCATGTACCATAAGGTAATTTTCAAGGCAAAGACCCCAATTAATAAAATTGAATTGCATAAGTATAAGATATTGGTCATGCAACGATTAATATCATGAAATTTGTTTTGTCGGAGCAAATGGTTGGCTGACATGTGCCGCGCAGCGGCACATTTCAGCCAATCATTTGCTCTGACAGAACAAATTTTATGATATTTATCATCGCATGATCCAATATCGATGTTATCGTGCAATTATGATCATGATTTTCAAGTCATTTTCGGCTAACTGAGTTTTAATTCGAGATTGTTGTGCTTATGTAATAACGTACAAAAAATAACAAGAAGAAAAAAATCTATGATCATAAGAGTTTGCACGATAACTTTATTTATTTATAAATCGAATTGCGCAATTTTATTTATATATGATGATTACGTCATAATGTTTTAAAACATTTTAAACAATTAAAAATCAAACAATCGAGATTTTTAAGATCATGTTTTAAAACATTTGCCATCCTTAGTCATGATCGTTGGTATAAAAGGTATACCACTTAAGGTTAGTGTGAGATGAGCTGTTGGTAAAATATTTTGTCTATGAAACGAACTTGTTGGTGAAATTACACGTACGTACCCATTTTGTTTACGTTAATTTTACTCAATAAGCATTTCATTTCATCTAAATTAATTTGCGAAGATTCTAATTCGTTAAATTCGTGAATTCTTGTACGACTTCATTAATTTTGTTTTATTTGCTCCAATCAAAATAGATAAGTGATTTAGGTATCAAGAAATTTGAATTCATTTTATTTAATTTTACTATGTGAATGAATATGTTATAAGTGGAAACGAAATTTAAGTGGATCAAATTTTTTATATGATTGGCAACCTGTGCAATATTTCATTATTTCACTTGACATTATAAAGAATGAAAAGCAAAAAAATTCATTTTCATTATTGATAAGAAAATTATCGTAATTATTGTAACTGTATTTTAAATTAAAGCTCAGTTACGTTACTTTTTTTTAGGGGAATACTAAGTTCATCATCGACAAGTTCATTTTCTATTCATTTCACCAAAAAAATTTTTTTATAAATTACACTAACTTTAACTCTAGCCTAACCCTAATGATATTGACTAAAAGCTTCGGTTAAATAAACTGCCGGTGAAAAGAACTTGTCGGTAAGTAATTGTCAGTTAAATGTGGTGTCTACGAAATGATTGTCGGTGAGTTGATTGGATCCTGTTTATGAGTATTACCCAAAATATTCATAAAAACATCCCATATATGGACGGAAATTTTGAATTAACGATTACAACATTCCCGTATGAGAAAAAAGGGATTGATTTTTATACAGATCAAAATTGTTATATGGTTTCAAAATTAATGATTCGGCAACTGATTACATTTTTAAATAAATAGTCACTCGTTCATCCGAATGATCTTTACAAATTTCATTTTCAATTGTTCCAAATTAATTTTTAATTTTAGAATTTCAAACATTAATTAAAACTCACTTATTTTCGAAATAGTTTTGTTTTGAAACAGCTTACTATATTCACTTCTCTTGACTTCTCACACTTAAAATAAATTACTATTCAGCTGTAATTTTTGCGTTTATTGGCTTTTAAAATGTATTACTACTTAATTGCAACCTTTGCATTTGTTGGTTACATTTTCTACAAGTGTTATATTCATCCTTTATATCTGTCGCCATTACGTAAAGTTCCTGGTCCACCTAGTGACAATCTCATTTTTGGACATCATGCTTCTTTTTTAAACTTTAGTCGAGGTGAAGCATTTGTTCGCTTAACAAAAAAATATGGTAGAATGGTTCGGTATCATTCGATATTTAACCAACCTCATGTAGTGATTACCGATCCAACACTTGCCCAACAAATATTGATAACTCGTACATATGATTTTCAAAATTTCTTTTTGAGTAGAAATTTAACGAAAGATTTTATTGGTGAAGGTGTAACATTTGCTGAAGGTGATGATCATAAACGACAAAGAAAAGCTTTGGGCCCTTCGTTCTCTTTTGCCAATGTCAAGGTATCTTTAACTACGATCAATATTGCCACTTGTTAAAAAATTGATTCTTATTTCAACATTCTTAATTTTTAAGGAAATGCTTCCAACATTCTTTCAAGCCTCCCATAAAATGAAAGATATTTGGTTGAAACAAATTGGTAATAAGAAAGAGGAAAGAATTACCATTACTGATTTAGTTCCAAAAATAATTTTAGATGTTATTGGTCTTGTTGGTACGTTTTAATCAATATTATTTTATACATCAGATTTTTATCAATAACAAGATAACATTTTCTAATTGTAATTATAATTAAATTGTTTGATAGGATTTAATTATGAATTTAATGCTACTTCTCCAGGCTCCGAAATTGCTCAAGCATATCATTCAATAGTTAATCTTATGCCTCCTTCTATATATGTGTTTCTTGCCGACTTTCTTCCAATCATCAGGAGAATTCTTCCTTCCTTTTATAAAGACCAATATTTGGAATCTGTTCAACGTATCCATAATATTTCTGATATGTTAGTTTCCAATCTAAAGAATGCTAATATTCGGGGAAATGATATAATGTCTATATTGGTTAAAACAAACGAGAATTTGCGTGCTAGTGAACAACTAACATATGATGAAATATATAGTCAGGTGAAATTTATTTAATTATTAAAATACATATATATATATATTTTATTAATTTTTATTTAAAATTATATAAATCTGTTAAATTTCAGGTTATTGGAATACTCATAGCTGGACATGAGACAACTAGTGTTGCTCTATCTTGGATACTATACTATCTTGCAAAATGTCCTGAGGTTCAGGATCGACTTCGTAAAGAAATACTTGATGTATTTACAGATAATGATTATTTTCCATCTTTTGAAGAAATTGATTCTTTAGAATATTTAGAATGTGTTATTAAAGAAACTCTAAGAAAGGCTCCACCTTGTATGGTTCAATATCTATTTCTCTATTATTCAATTTACTCAATTTTATTAACTTTATTTTATTCTGCTTATATTTTAAAGTACCTGATGTCATGCGTTCTACATCGAAAGATGAAATTATGAATGGTTACGTTATTCCAAAGGTATTTCCTAAATAACTTTTCAGTTCAATTCAATTTGATATTATACTACATATATAACTTTAAAATTTTCTCTTAGGGAACTCCATTGCTTATTTCTTTTTACGCAATCCATCATGATCCTTTAATTTGGGGTAACGATGCTGAAAATTTTAACCCATCTCGATGGCTTGATCCAGAAATAAAATCAAATATATCAACTAGTGCTTTCTTACCTTTTAGTGCTGGTCGAAGAGGTTGTCCAGGAAGTAAAATGGCTCTTGTAGAACTTAAAATGATTGTACCTATAATTATTAGAAATTTTAAGTTTAGAATAGTTGAAGGATTTACTTTTGAAACTAGATCTCAAGGTTTTTTTAAACCTGTTCCAGGAAT